TCCGATCTCATTCTAGCCAGATATTAAACTCAGTAATTTCTTCAGTAAGCACACCTACAATTATGGCAGTTTACTGTATTAGTTAATTACTGGAGATTACACTCCCATCTGTTGTGCTTAGAATCTCTCAATCAAGTGCCTTCAGTATCCGATCCAGTGGTGAGTCAACAATGGCAAATACATATAGGGATCTAAAAACCATCTGTCTGAACTGTTTGTAGCTATTTAGCACAAAGATAACTGGGTCAATTGTCCTAACACCTGTGAATGAAAAAACTTGCAGAAGATGTGTTTGATATTTCAGTGATCTACCTGTGATCCAACTGCAGAACAAACCGTTATAGCAACAGAAGTGTAGGAAGTTTTCCTCAAAAAGCTTGCTATATATCTACGTTAGGATTCATACATTGCACAGGGATATAATTTTTCCTTTATAGAAAAAATATTAATCAATTAATTTTATATAAGAGGAAATTTGTCTTTTCCTAAGAAGAAAGGTTGGCATTACTGACTTATCCGATGCAAAGCACCTACAACAAAATATGAAGACAAATCTCTGGCCAAAGAGGCTGGCACTGTGGGTTCCCCATTATGTCGGCCACAATATTAGAATGTGGCTTAGGGATATTCTGCAGGATATTCTGATAGGGGAAACTGTACAGTGCTTTTTAATCTTTTTATGCAAGTAAATATAAAAATACGCCATCTCTATTGGCTATTTGTAAATTAAATACTGTTTGTAGAGTTGAGAAACTGGTTTTTTTAATAACTAATTTCCATACAAAACATCTGTCAGTATATATTCTTTCATAATGATGTTAGTGCATACAGAGAGCCTTAATCCATGGCCAAAAAACAGCTGGAAACTGTTTTTTTAATATTTAGTATTGCTTGATTTACTGTTTGGAATATTTTTGGTAGACACAGCAGACACTTTCCAAAACAGCTTATAGACTTTTAACACATCCTCATTTTAATAAAGTTCAGTTCCTAATTTTATGTACATTTGGCCTCACCACAAGAAGTCCACATTCAGAAGATTACAACAGTATGAAATTTTTATGGCTGATATTAAAAATCAGTTTCTTACTGCTTTGAATAGAACTTTTTAAAAAATAACTTTCAAATATGGCAAAAAATCTTGCTCCATGGTAGTTTTAATGAGTACCAGATTCAACAGGTAGCCTACAACCTGCAGCATTTAAAATATACATTTGAGAAGCGTGAGGAGTATATCCTTGCCTAAACAGAAGAACTGAATTTATTCAACAGAAAGTGTTCAATCTGGTAAGAAACTTTTACTTGCAAATGACTTGAATGAGTGATTTCCTTCTACCGAATACATGCATATTGAAAGATGCTGCCTGACCCCGCTGCTTCGCTAAAAAATTAATCCTTAAGAAAACTATGTGCTAGGCTGAAAAAATCTCCACAATAATCAGTAACTGCAGGGAAGAACTGGGTATTTTTCCTTAGTGTTGCCATCAATGTGTCTCAAACCTTTCTTGGAGGAATTTTTTTATGCAAAGAAGAGAACAGTTTCTTTCTTCAGTCTTTCATTTCTTTGAAGTTCCTAACAGGGAGGCTGGTTGCAAGGTGTCTGACTCGAATCTAAACTGAAACTGGGCAAAGACCACCGCTTGTTTTCAAACACTCCTATGAATAATCAACATCCACCGGAAAGCACTTGGTATTCGCAGGCTGAAGGCTGGATTTGGGCAGCAGAGCTGAAAGGTCGTTTATTCTACTGATAGATTCTGCCAGCTGTCATGTCTGAATAAATTAGAAATCCACCCAAATAATTTTCTAAATTGTCTGTGAATTGAGGTTAGTATGCATGGAAACATTATTTATCTTTAATTTCTAAATTAATTTACATCCAAACCACTGATAAGACATTAGGACTGCATAGGTAGAGCAAATAGCTGGTCAAACCTTACAAAGGCTTGTAAACATTTACTAGATACATACTGCACATCTTCTGTAGGTTACGGTGCAAATCTAACTAACAAAAGGTATTACAGATCAGAGTGTGAGGATTTGCAAATACTACCAGTAAACCAAATGCTGAGCTAACATAGCCATATCATAAACATTTAAACTTTTTAGTGTCTTAGCTCTTAAAACTCTGTAGTCTGAACTTATATTCATAAAAGTTCCCCCAGCTCCTTTGTTAGACTTGCAATTAAAGTTGACCTGATTAAGAAGACCTGCTTTCTCAGTCTTCTTGGTAGGACACATTGATTAGGAAGCCTGGGAATCCTCATTCCTGTCCAAGCAGTGATCTCTCCCTGGGAGTTCACTGATTAGTTAATGAGTGTGTTTACCTGTGCATGCGTGTTCGGGCAGATTAGCCTTTGCACATAGCATGGCTGAAGGGATAATGACAGCTACTGGACTGCTGCATCCCCGAACTTTAATGATAGCATAGCATAAAGTTCGCGCAAAAGTCCTGCCCAGCCACGTCTATACCTTTTCAAGGTGTCACCCTTGCTCATGTTTTCCTTAAATCATCATCACAATCACGCCAGATTTTTACCTTGTTTTTTTGAATGAGTAACATTGAAAGATGAAAAAAGACGTTTGGACGGATCATGCAAGGAGTCAATAAATATGTAGAATATTTGTAGACGTGTATTTTAGTTAATAAACTTCACAGGTTTTTTGAAAGAGACCCATTTTAAATCAATGACTATCTTTAAAGAAGCTGAATTATGAAACGACCTAATGTAGGTATCTGGTGTTTCTTAAAAGTAAAGTATTTTCTCTTTTAAGTATTGCCTCATGACAGTATTATGGCTAAGAAGTTTAATGGGGAAATTGATGTTTCTGAATTTGGGAGTTTGGAGAACTTCGCATAGGGGGATTAGATTGTCACTCATTTACAATTTGGCATGAGTATGTGTAAGATTCAAACAAGTTGATAAAAAAATAACCTCCAATCCCATTAAAATGAACAGTAAACT